GCATGTATATGCACGTGTATGTGGTGGACCGAGATTAGTTTGGCTGAAGCCAATTCGTTGGGTGTGAGTCATGGGTAAGGCATGAGAAGCACGTCGCAAACAGCCGTCGCAGGATATCAACTCAAACATGCACTTACTCAGCCGCTTGTTGAGGGCAGATGTGTCCAGCTTGGGAGGTGTGCATTTGGACAATTGCAGCTTTACAGCTTTGCATGCTGAAGATATCTTATGTTTGTCGGTCGTGAGTGGATCGAGCGCGTCCACTACAATGTCAACGTCTGGCATTGTGTGGGCCATGTCTGCGATGTAGTCTTGCAAGTGCTCCAGCGCGTCAGAATCGAAATCACGAAGAGATGTCTCAACGTCAAGTCCTTTGCGAGCAGCATTGTACTTCTTCCGCAAAATCATGGCGGCTCTTTGGAGCACCATGACCTGCACCGTTCAAGCCGGGAAGACGAGGCGTCAGGAGAAAAGAGAAACGATTGAAACAATGTGTCGGCCCATATGAGATGCCATGCAGTGCAAAAGCGCATTGGCAAGGCAGAGCCAACAAGCGTACCTCTGTTGCCGTCAGCTGCGGTGGGGCTGGCATGGTGTCTTCACTCGTGGAATCCGCTGAGGATGGTACCTGAGGAAGAGACCAAAGCGGTGGCAGGTGAGGCGCGAATGACACATCAGATGGCAGGTGTCGATGCTCTGTGGGTTGTATGCAGTTGGCCCTGATGCAGCGTCAAGGCACATGTGTGTGTGTGTGTGTGTCGATGCGTGCGTGCGTGAGTTGTGCATGTGTGTGTCGATGCGTGCGTGTGTGTGTGTGTGTGTGTGTGTGTGTGTGTGTGTGTGTGTGTGTGTGTGTGTGTGTGTGTGTGGGTGTGGGTGTGGGTGTGGGTGCGTGTGTGTGTGTGTGCGTCTGTGTGTGTGCGTCTGTGCGTGCGTGTGTGTGTGTGTCGACGCGTGGAGCACATGGAATACCTACAACTGGACATGCAAAAATGTGTGATCGACAAGAAAATGAGTACATGTGCCATCACCTTTGTCGCTTGCGCATCGCCACTGGGGCGGCGCTCACAAGATGCTGCTGCTGCCACTGCGAACATTGCTGTGTGTTGTTGACGTGCGTGTGTGGGATGACCATGTGTCGACAGGGGTGTGTTGTAAATTTGAAATTTGAGCGGCGGGAAGATGGTGTGACATGATTTGATGCAAAATTAACGCATAACATTCAAGCAGACGATGCTGACTGGCAGTTGTGGTGCAGTTGTTGGTGCTGTGGGCCGGCGGCTGCTGCAGCAGGCACGGGCATCGCAGTGGTGCAGTGCTGCTGTGTCGCGAAGCCTCTCGAGCAGCAGGCTGTGCTGCGACAAGAACAGACTGGCTGCACGAGCTAGTGGCTTTGAAGACACTGTGTGGGTGGAATTCGCGCCACTGGCCCAGAAGCATGGCGCCGTCAACCTTTCTCAGGTATGCGTGTGTGTGTGTGTGTGTTGTGTGCGTGTGTGTTTGTTGTGTGCGTGTGTGTTTGTTGTGTGTGTATGTGTGCGTGTGTGCGTGCGTTTTGTGGTTGCCCTGCTGCACTTTTGTGGTTACAGCCACTGCTCATCCCCCCGCCTCATACACACACACAATCTTTTTCCCTTCGCGGTTTGTTTCAGGGCTTGCCATCGATTCCAGTCGCACCCTTTTATTCTGTCTTGCATGCAAACGGGTACGTGAGGCCGATTCCACTGCTGCACGTGTACTGCGTCGCTGCACTGTCTTCACTCACTACGTTTTCTTCCTTTGTGTTGAAGGTGCTTGCTCCCACCTCATGCGAGCGCTGCTCTTGCTTCCACCTCATGCGAGCGCTGCTCTTGCTCCCACCTCATGCGAGCGCTGCTGCTGCTTCCACCTCATGCGAGCGCTGCTCTTGCTCCCACCTCATGCGAGCGCTGGTCTTGCTTCTTCCTTGTGTGTGTGTGTGTGTGTATGTGTGTGACAACTCCCGACAGCTGCTGAGCCAGGCATGCATCACCAGT